ATATGATCGAAAAACACATGATGGTGTCACTAATTCTATTCATCCTCAATCCACTTTGCTGTTCGAGAATTCTAAAATCAGTTATGACTGATTCATTGGGTTCTATTTTCATTTTTTTGGCGCTTATTAATTTTTACAAAAAAAAGAAAGTATTGTTTTTCGATGGCTTTGGCATTTCATATAGCAAGCTAGCTAATTATAATGGTTAAGGAGTCCGTAATGCACACTATATTGTCGTAGAATTTTTGGAATTTGCTTCCTCAACTGGAAAGTTGAGTGGAATGGAACGTAATTAATAATATATTTCGATTGTTGCAGGACTGGAAAATGATATTTGTACGATTATCGACGGGATCTTGCCATTGATTCGACAGCATAGCGAGTTGGTTGCTGACGATGGATTTATGCGTCAGCTGCGCGATGAATTGCTGCAACAGGCGTCTGTGGTCTGCTTTCCTGGAGATGTCACTCCAACGGATCTCTTCCGCAGTCAGCTGAGCACAATTATTGACGATACATTATCTCAATATGTGGGTAGTAAAGTGGGTGAAGTAAGGGAAGAACTAATTTTTGAAACTTCCGAAATTTTATATAATGAGTTAACTTTTTTCCAGCTGATGTACAATATTGATAATTTAGCAGCCTAAATGTGCCTTAAAATTGCTTATTTGTTAGCTTGGTAGCTTTGTTATCCTTTTACATATAATTCATGGGACTTCTGTTGAACTATTCGCTGTAGGCCTTTCTGAGACCGCTTCAGAGCATATCAATTATCTTTCAAGACCTCAAATCCTCTTACTTCCAATGGTTAGTATACGAAATAAGACTGACGGCGATTTCAGATTCTGCATTCTGAAATCATCATCAGTCCAGCAGTTCTTCGAATTTCATTTTCTTGGATGGACTGTTTTCTTAACTGACATCTCATCCTTTTTTAAAATTTCTCTTCATTGTTTAGTTGTTTTCCCGGGAAATTGCACAACTTCTATCCCTACATAATCTGCATGTAAGTCTTGTAATAAAAGCTCATGATTCACTCCTGTTTTATTTATTGTTCATTACTGCTGAAACAACTTATTAAATAAACCATTGCTGATCAGTGGTGTTTACTTGGATGTATTATTTAATTCGGTTTTACTTAGAACAGTGTTTTTGTGGGATTTAATCGTGATATTACTCTCATGATGCTGTTTATCAGTGCGTTACTCACTTATTCCGGTTTCACTTTATCACTGAACTCTTATATGCCACCTTAATTTATTTATATCCATTGCCTTCTCCTGTCTGTGTTTTACTGTTGATGCGTGTTGCTAGATTTAACTTCTCTTTCATCGAAACTCGTAAAACTTTATGCTTATTGTATACTTTTTTAAATTGCTGCCGAAAAATTCCCGTTTGTTTCACGAGAGCTATATGTTATTTTATGGGAGCTATCATTCTGCATATCTGTTTACAATCTGTATCCCTATGTAAACACCATTATTTGATCTACCTGAAATTCCGAAATGATTCAGCTCAGTATAGTAAAAATAGATCGACATGTGATTAAGCGAAAGAAGTAAATTTTAATTTGGTCAGTTTTGTTTTAAAGTGACATTTCTGAATACTCATATGTGTATTTATCTTTCGCATAAACATAATTTGTGATTTTAAATATTTTGAAGACACTGCAAGGTTTATAAACAAATGGAAAATATCATAAGTGTTATGGATTTCCGATATTGAATTAATGTAGATCGACGAGTAAAGGTAGTTAAACGAGCGGTATTATCCAAATTTCGGAAGAAATTGAAATTCAGAATTTAAATTGCTAAAGCGCAAGCATGTAATCTCTTTTAAAGGCAAAATAATGGAATTTTTGTCGTACAAACCGCTACCCATCGATTGTGGATCAAAATTATCTATTTTTCGAGGGTTCAATTATCCTTTTGACCGGTTAGACCGTTTGGTATGCATCGTCCTGGGATCGATTTCCGAGATATAAATCATAGTATTTTCTCTACATGGTCGAGAATTAACGATTTTTGCGATATTTTATCTCTGATACAGGATTCTGATACTATTTTTTGGTTGTTTTGCATTGAATCCTGCAAAGGTGAGTGAGTGGCAACAACTTATCCCATTCTACTGTGATTAGTTTAATCCAAAATTCCAGAGTATTTCTCATTTCTTACCGAGAATTTGAATGGTATTTTGCCTTTCCATTTCTCCTTCTCAGAAGCTGGGCTTATTTTGATTTTGAACTGGAAGGCTGAAATTGTTGAGAAATATTGGTTATGTGGAAACAGAAGAATGCCGATCGAATGCTCGTGGAAACAGCTGCTACTGCGACAGTTTTATTTGTATTTTTGGCTGCAAGGATAAGACGAAGTTCAATGTGTATTAATTTTTTATTTGTTATCATGGTTTCATGTTCTCTTTACCTTTATTCACTTCGGTTAGGTGTAAATCTTTCCAATCTACCTGTATTATTTTACAAACGAATTTTTGATGGAACGGACCAAAGGTTTGTCAATTTACATATTTGTGATGTCTTCAATAGTTAATTTAGCAATCATTTGTTTACTTATATTTTTTAATTCGAAATATCAGTGATAAGAGAGCTATTATACCTTACATTTATTTTATTCAGAATTGAAGATATCACAGATGTAAATAATTGATGTCTTAGAAAATTGCAGATTTCAAGTTTTTAAGGTACTACTTGCTGTTATTTTATGGCATATGTATCTTTGCAACATTGATATTCTGCATTATCGTGAATCATTCATCGCATTGCTCAACTATGCATCGGAAATTTTTCCATCTCACAGTATCGTTAATTTGTATAGCCGGTATTCAGTATGATTTTGAATTAATTTGGCTCTCCGCTTGGTTAATGCTTTGTATTTTTGTAATCATTGAGGTGAGCTTATTATTCCAACTTTCTGACAAGAATTCCGATTTTGATTCTCGAGAAAAACTTTTTGTGGGCAAATTTAAGAATCATTGCTTTTTGCTGGTTTGTAATTAATTAGCCATATAGTCCCTATTAGATCCCATGAATTATTGTTCACTGGAAAGATACTACAATTCATTCATATAATTTGCTTTAGTGAAATATCATAATTGCCTAGCTCTCCGTTGAATTTCTCATTCACAGAATTTACATATTTGGTGCTATGGAACTGCTTTCATATTGGTTAGGATTTCTTTACATTTCCATTTCAGGTTTTTCGTTCCAAACATGTATCACCATGGTCAACGTATCTGAATGGCTGGTTGTTGATTTTCATTGATAAACAGGACTCACCGGAACTTATCTTAACTCCTATTTATTTACTGGCTGGGATATTTTTGCCTCTCTTCCTTTCACCGATCGCTAATAACGGTATAGTTTTTTATTTTAATCCCTTCATTTGTCGTTTTCTTTTTTTCCGGAATTATAAGACTTTTTCAGGAAATCAAAACACATGCTACACTCAATATTCATATAATTTTGATTTTTTATGACGTTATTTAATAGTTTTTTTCTTTTTTGAAATGAAAATCTAATTTAATTTACTGGAATTGGGACTTTTTTTCTTGATTTTTTGAAATTCAAATTTTTTTTTATTTTTTTACTTTACATAACAGACCAGAGAATTGCATAGGATAATTCCAAACCCTTAAAATTGTTACGAGTAAGTGGTAGTTTCTTTTAATGCTAAGATTTCAGTGTAGAGTAGACATGAAAAGATTTTTCTTTGCTTTATCGAGGATAAAAAAGCAAACAGTTAATCAATAAGTAAATAAAGAATTGCTGCACTTACAGAATATCGGCATTTGTATCATTTCGCTGGTGTTGCTACAGTTGGTGTTGGTGATAGTTTGTCAGCAGTTGTTGGTTCACGATATGGACGTTTACATTGGCCAAAATCACGGAAAACAGTGGAAGGAAGTGTTGCATTTGCTGTTAGCCAATTTATCTTTTCCATTCTAGTATGTATGTATTATTTAAAATGTGATATTGGATTGTATCGGTTGCTTTGGATTCTGCTTTGCTCACTTATATGTGCTCTTTTTGAGGCTGGACTACCTGTCATGGATAATATCATTCTACCTGTGATAGCTTATTTGATTCTGTTTTAATTTTTGCTGCTAAATAAATAAGTTATTTAGAAATAGAACAAACTGTAAAGATAAAAGTGGACCCTTTTTTTTCCCCCTGACATTTCGTCACATTTAAATTTTCGATGAATTAGGAATATGATAGGAAGAGGATAGTATCGTTAACCATCTGGATGAAAAAGATGTGATAAACTAAAGATTGAAGGTAATGAAAAAGTTATTAGCTTTATCAATTAGGTAATAAAATAACTGAAGCTGGTCTCGAGATAAAGAAAATTGTCAAGTTATCTAATGTTATTTTAACTACTCTTATGATATATCAAACGAGTGGGTGATTCCAACTGATAAGAGCAAATGATTATAGTTAAGATAAAGAAATGAATAAGAAGTCTGAGAAAGAATGCCTGAATTATTTACGCTCAATGTATATCATTAGTATTGTTAGTCTCATTATATGAATTAATGGATCATTGTACTACTACTACTAGTAGTAGTACAATGACTACTACTAATAGTAGTAGTAGTAGTAGTAGTAGTAGTAGTAGTAGTAGTAGTGGTAGTAGTAGTAGTACCATCACTTTGGGTGGCATCAATTGTAATGGATGAAAGTGGTGACGTGCATTTGATTGAATGACGAAAAGATGGCAATAGTTTGCACATTAATGTGGTAGTAGATAGCATTGCACCCCTATAGATGTGATTAAGCATTTTAAGAATGATGAAAGATGAGCAAAAGGAAAGT